GGAGGGAGAGGAGCCGAAGAGAGATGCACCCCCGTTGATTGACCCGCCACCTTCAACGTGCCGTGAACACATGTGCTGATGGCAACACTCTGATTGGAAGCCAGATGGGCTCTTCACCCCATCTTACCTTACCTTACCACCCTCTGCGTCCCTCCATCGATGATTCTCCTTCTCCCACCCTTCGATCCTTCGCCTCCTCGATCCCCGTCACTCTTTTTCTCCCTCGACACCTGAAACACAACCCTCCTTCGCAAAGTACCTATCCCGCTATATATATCATCCCACGCGCGAAACGCGCGCGATATGCGCGCAGGTTGGCGAACACCTCGCCAATCGATCGAATCGAAACGAAACGGAGGTGAAGGTGGAGATGGATAAGGAAAAGCAGCGGATAAAGGCTCGGAAGGCCGATTTCGGGCGACGTCGAGGCTTGCCACGGATTTAACGCCGTATAAAATTAACATTTGTCCGGAAGCGGCGATTGGCCGCCGAGTTTGAAAGGGATGTTTCGTAAGGTCTCGATCGATCGAATGGAATCGAATAGAGTTTTGGGATCATCCGGTTTTTGATGGGAGTTTTGATGGTGGTAAGGGAGGTTGTTACTCGAGAGCGGCACTGTATTCAAATTCTTGGCGAGTTCTAACGCGTATGCGCGGTAGGTAAGAACGGCCTAGTAAGAACGGGATCATTCGAGGAATTCGAGGTATTTTACATTAATAGGATTTGGAAAGTTCGCCAAATGCCACTTGCGTATTCTTTTCTCGCGGAGGCGTCGACACGGTTAGCATGTATTAACGTATTGATTTAGTTAAAACTTCGCAGCGCACACTTTGCAACTCGTTCCGGGGATTCGTTGGGATTCATCTCACGTTTCTATTTGTATAATTTGAATGAATTTGGTGGCACGGTGACGAGCTTGGTGAATAGAGAAATTCCATTTCTATTTTTGTATACAAAAGTTTGTAAATTATGACACGAGATATGAAATGATTCTTCGAACCATTAATAACTCAAAAAAAAAAAAAAAAAAAAAAAAAACGCAAATATCACTCTCTATACAAACGTATACAAATATAAGTTATTTTCCTATTCAAGATCTCTCGATCAGAATTATGATTTGAATATGATTTTGATACGAACTCTTCTACAATCTTTACCATCTTCCAATTTCGATCCAATTTCGTAAAAATTATTATTCAGTAATTACAATTGCCGAATTCGAGAAGCAGGCAAGTTGTCCCAGAAGAGAAGTTGTTTCGATGACAGGCGGATCGATCAAGAAAGGATAAAAGAGACTCGATAACGAAGCGTGTGGCGTGCTGACAATTACTCGCCACGATCGATTAACCACCACTTTATTTAACTTCACCATTTCGAAGTCGTCTGCCTGTGACACCAATTATGAAATGGTTTCTTTTGTAACGCTAGATCCAAAAGTGGTAATTAGAGTGTCCGGTAACTAGACCCCGTTTCCCGAGGAAACGGCAGACGGGGATTTTCTGTCTTTAACAGGAACGAGGTGATGCCTGACTTTATACCCTGTTGCGACTCGTTAAAGCCCTCCCCGCTCTCGCTATTGTCGTAATTGTGGCCTCGGTGAAATTCTGCTTCGTTACAATGGGGGCGGGCTCGTTCTTGCAAATGTACCCAGGCGGGAGCGAGGGGGGATTCGTTCTTTTTTCTTTTTCCAACGAAACTCTCGAGCATTTAGAGATTTTAATACTTTCGCCGAAAATATTATATTCATAGCGAATATTTCTAATCCTCGATTGTTTACTAATTGGATTAACTTTTCAAAAGTAATAATATAACCATCCTTTCGAATCTAAATTCTCTTTCGAAAATTTCCAAAGAAAGAAAATTCTGATTCCGAAAAGTACACGTAAGCACCGATATTGAGCAAACGAATTGAAAATTGTATAATTCTCTTCGTGTGTTGGACGACAATCGTGGTCGTTTCTGCGTCTATCGTCTTCCTTCACTCGAAACAGGTCCCGAATAAATCCGTCCCCCCCGTATCGAAAAGCCAGAAGAGCGTGTTCAGACGTCTCGTCTCGTGTAAAGGGCGGTGTAACGTCACCAGGTTTACAGGGTGAACGTAAACGGGCTTGTTAGGACGGGTGGATAGGTTCGAAGGTTTTCACGGGGAAGGTGGGGAGGGAGACAGAAAGGAAGCAGGGGTGGGTTTCCAGCCGGGACATGAGGGACAGTTCACCGGCTTTGCCCGCGGGCAGTCCCCAGAGGTGGCAGTCCCGTTGCAAGCTGAACCTAGTCTGTGGTTGCTGGCTTGTTAGATCCAGTTTGGGGTCGGCACGGTCTGAAGAGGGGGGGTTGCTGCCCAGTGGAGGGCGCCACTCTTCAGTAGACCGCAATCGGGTATGCAATTTACGTGGTGTCCGACCTCTGCGACCTCTCGCCCCGTCCACCTCGCCCTCCGTCTCGCCATCTACCCTCCTCTCTCTCTCTCTCTCTCTCTCTTCTCTTTCTCTCCTTCAAACCCACAGGTTTCTCCAGGTTCTCTGTGCAACCGTGTGCAGAAAGGAAGGAAGGCCCTCCACGTTGTACGTTTTCGCTCGATACGCAACAATGGAAAAGGTGGTGAATATTGAGGGCGATTAAGGGGATGGCGAGGATACGGCGATGACTGTCTGGCGTACCGTGTAGCCAGCTTCTAACGATTAGGTTTCTTCCTCGCGAAGACGTGGTATTTCTTCGACTTTACTTGCGAATACCGGTAATGACGGCCGGGAAATTGTAGGAACCGAGAAGGATTGAAATTGGACGGGCACAGTAGCGAGAAGTTAACGGTTTGCCGGTGATCAAGTTCCGATCTTTCGTTCCGTTAACGTGACCGTATTCGTGACCCTTCTTTATTCCTTCTCCTCGCTCCTTCATTTCCTTCTCGATCGAGACTTATACGTGCAACTATATCTTCAACTTCGATCCCTGAACGAGATTTCACGATCGAATTGTGATTGAGCAAATGAAGGGTTTTGAAGAGTTTCCGAATGGATACGTTTTGTTAATATTTTTCTTTTTTTTTTTTTTTACAAAAGAAAATCATTTATATATATATGTTTATATATATGCATTAAAATCGGAGGAGGAGATCTCGTTTATCTTCCGTAATTTTGGATATCTTAAGAATTAAGTGTAATTTACGATCAATAAAATTGAGAATTACTAGTAATTTGTGGCGCAAGGTGTTTGTAGTAGAGGTCTCGGATTGTTCGACACGTTCCAATGCAAATGTCAGGTTGAACGTTGCAACCTCTCGCGTAATGCGCGTGTTAATCGGTCGAGGCTACGTCGTGTACGAACGGCATAATTCGCTCAATTTACAAGCCTTATCGCAACCGTTGCGTTTAATCGCGGAGAATTAAGTTATATCGTCGGTCTGACGTTGCCGCTATAACGGATCGATTCGTCAAAAACGTATTTTCGAACGACGATGAAATTTGTTTTTCTCGATTAACGATTAAAAATATCTTCTGTCCTTTGATAGCGAGAAAATAAACGAGATAAATTGAATAAAATATTTTTTTATAGAAAATAATGTTGAAATTTTGCCGCGACTCGTTAATAATAATCTGAAGTTTATCATGATATTGGGAATCGAACGTTTCATCGCTTACTAGATTTTCTTCTTTTTAATAACATACATGAAGAACATCGAATGTAAAATGTAAATATGACAATCGTTCATATTTGATTGTCATGTGTTTTAATTCATAAAATTTCATTGAAATTATTTGAAAATTATTGCAACGAATAGACTAATTAGGGCAAGAGTCAATGAAGAAATAAGGAAAACGGAAAATAACTTGGTAATAACTTTCAAATTTCGATTTTGTATTCGGATTGGTTACATTTCTTTTTAATTAATTTTATAATATCCGTCGTTTATCATGGTGTAGACTTGAATGAAAAAATATTTCACGGAGGGATAAAAGAAGCAGAACTCGATTCATCGTATTTTTCGAAAATTTTCATCATTTTTTTTTTTTCTTTTATTCTTTTTTTCCTTTTTTTTTATTTTTGAAATATGACTCATGACTTCTTGTCTAAATAGGAAATTTTTCTAAACTGGGCAAAAAGAAGTAAGCAACGAGAAACATTCTAATTTCAATCGTTTAACAAGGAAATGTCAAAATGGGGAAATTGCAGGTAAATTACACGAGCAATCTTCTTTTTTGTATTTTTGATAAGATATAGATTCTCCCTTTCAAATTTCAATATTTTGATATTTCGAAACATACGTGGCGCGATGATTATATAAATACAAAAAAAAAATAAATAAATAAAATAAAATAATTTTATTTTATACGAACAATATAAGGATTATCTTACGATCTTACGATTATTTTTACCACAAAAAGTAATATAATTAATTATTAATGAATCCAGCATATTGTCGCTTACGTTACTGGAGGCGCGAACGGTATTGGAAAAGCATGTGCGGAGAAAATTTTTCAACAAGGTGGTAAAGTAGTGGTAGCTGATATATCTTGTAATGGAGCTAAAGTTGTCGAGAATATGGGTGATAAAGCTATATTTACCTGTACCGACGTAAGTTCAATTGCTCGTAAGTTATCGCTATCACTATCGTCGAACAAAATAATATATTCTTTAACTCTTTCCAACTTATCCTTTCTTCAAGATTTCCCTTCCTATGTATATATTTACATTTTGACATTCTCCGTATCATCTAAAGCAACAAACATTTGTGTTACAAAAATGTTCCATCAACGATCAACACTCGGTCAAATATACGACGGTTTCATTAGGTGAGATTAGAGAAGGATGTGGTGGACAGCATAAAATGCGTGAAGGAGAAATTCGGGGGTGTAAACGTATTGATTAACTCGGCCGGTGTCGTTGGATACGAGACAATAATTAATCACAAAACAAAGAAGCCGCATTCCGTCGATATGTACCGATGCATCTTCGACACTAACGTTTGGGGTCTGTTCAACGTGACACGTTTATTAGCTCCTTTAATGGTGGAGAACAAACCCGATGAGAATAAACAGAGGGGAGTGATTATAAATCTTTCGAGCATGATGGCGTACGATCCTCCAGCCGGTATGGTTGCTTATGGCGCTTCGAAAGCCGCCGTTTCTGGAATGACGATGCCCTTGGCCAGAGGATTGGCGATGAAAGGGATACGCGTTATCACCATATGCCCCGGTTACATAGACAGTCCCATGACAGGTAATAATATCGGGTGGCAATGCTGCGTGTAATTATTAGATGAAGTAAAATTTAAAAGTGAAATTCATCGAGATGTCGTACGTCTACAGCTCCGCAAAAGCCACCCGAAAGAGCGAAATGGATAAGAATGAAGTTATCACCGAAACGTTATGGAACTTGCGAGGAAGTTGCCCATTTAATCCAAGCTTGTATCGAAAATCCATTAATAAACGGCGAGAATATACGCATAGATATGGGCTTCAGACACAACCAGATAGAAGATTCGGAACCATCATTCGCTTGTTAAATATCACTTTTTTTTTTTTTTTTTGTGACAATTAATCGTGAGTACATTTTACGATACATGTCAGTTATTGACAAAGACAGATGTGTATCAACAAGAATAAATTAATTTAAAGCGTTCGTATAATTTGTCTCCCGAACAACATCGTTGTTTTCTGTAATATTCAAATTTATTTCAAGGAAAAAGAGAGAGAGAGAGAGAGAGAGAGAGAGAGAGAGAAAGAGAGAGAGAGAGGAACACGATTCATTTATATATTTATTTCCTTTGTTCTTTTTCTTCTTCTTTAACGAACGTACATCGCCATCAACTGTAGTGCTTCCCTCCTCCCTCCCCTCTATCTTTATATTTATTCGTGCGAAACCGATATCCAAGAATCTAAGAATAGTCACGGAAAAGAAGAAGGGGGAGGAAAGAATAATGATTGTTCGCAAAATTGGCGAAAAAACGGAGGAGGATCAAGCAACAGATCCTCGAGCACGTCGCTCGCCAGGATGCGGCGCATCATCATCAGGGGGGTGCGACGTGCAACCGTGCGCCCACCCACCCAACCAACCACCCACCCACACTTTCTACCCCGCTATGAAATTTATGTATGGAAATATTCGCGCGAGCATTACGCATGTAGAATATCACGACCAGCAGCTGGAGGCCCTCCCGTGACGACACTTCGTAGGAAAATGTATTTTAGCGCCCGCGACGGAGGCGGCAAGGTGGAAATACGCGCTCGAACGACCCTTCCCTTTTCCCGCGCCATTCGTTTCCTCCGGGTTGCCTTCGCCCCGCGAGCCTGTCGTCGAACCTAAACCTCTGGAGTCTTCATCGACAACCCTACAGGCATTCACAACCACCAACCTACGATATATATATATACATTTCCTCCTCGTATTTTTCGCCTCGCGTTAGATTCGCGCGATCTTCTCTCCTCCCTCCCTCCCTCTCTCCGCCGCTCCTCGAAACGTCTGCTCATGTTTTATGCACGCGCGATGACAATTTTACGAGGTGGGAACAGATTGTTAGGAGAACCGGGGGATGAGAATCGGTCAGCGACCGTGAAAACCGTGTTTACCTTCTCGTTTCTCTCTCTCTCTCTCTCTCTCTCTCTCTCTCTCTCTCTCTCTCTCTCTCTCTCTCGTAATACTCGTAAAATATAGATGTTTTTCGAGAATTTTTTTAGAATCTCGAGAGTTAAGTTAATTCTTTCAATTGTTCGCTTTGAAACGAAATTTTTCTACGTTTAAATTTATAATCGTGGGTTTTATTGTATAGGATGGTTGGTTATGTTTTTTGGATATAATGTTTATGTGTAGAGAGATTTCGTATGTTTCTAAGAAGTACGTGCGTATGAATGCATAATGAAAAGTGAAGTAGTAGAAGAAGAAAGGTAGAGAAAAGTTGTTATTGAAAATCGAGTAAGGGACGAGGAAGGAAATATTTTCGGACGAATTCGTTCGAATCGAATAAAATAATCTCCATTTTTTTTTCACATGATATCTTTTTTAATCAACTATGATTTACACAGTTAAATTTTCCATCGAGAAAAAATACAATTGCAATTTCCAATTGGTTTCATTCGTCAGATTCTCGTTATCATTTTCTTTCTTTCTTTCTTTCTTTCTTTTTTTTTTTTACACTTTCAAAGCCACCTTCATGGTTTCGACGATGGCTTGACACATTAGAACACCGTCTTGTATTACGTTCAGACCAATGGCAAGTGAATTATTTATCGCTATATCGAAATACACGTCCTTAATCGTATCGAAGACGTCCACCAAGGCTTTGATGGGTTCTGTGCTGCGGAGAGCTAATTGTATGGCATCAGTGAGGACGCTGATCAAATCGGATGAGCCTTCAAGCAACGCGTTTGCAACCTGATCTCGAGCCGCCTCGATCTGTGATTTGGCCTCCTTCGAATATTTCGAGAGATTCGGCAATTTCAATCGATCTTCCACCGATTTGAGCGCCTTGGTCAAATTGACAGTGCCCAAGTTACCCTTTGCTACGGCTACACGGTGAAATATTTTTCATCAGAATAGACGTTTAAGAGATACGAGTAATATTTTTTTCACGCTTCGAACAAAATAAAGGTTAAATTAATAATATTTAGCCAGTGTTTGGGATAAACACAAAATTATATACGAGTTTTTTAAAGACAAATGGAATATATATCATGCGCATCGTACCTGAAAATCCTTTCCCAAATTGTTTTATTATGTTGTCAGCAGATTTGCCTATGTTCTTAAGTGCATCTACCGCTGTTTCCTTTGATTCGCTGGAGCTCTTTAAAACGAAAAAAAAAAAAAAAAAAAATGTTTAATTTTTCCACAAACGTGAAAACAATTTGCGATTAACAATATTTCGAGTCTCTGTAATGATATATCTACGAAAACGAGAGAAGAGATGTTGCAAAGAAAATTTGAAAAATTGTATACTTGTTTTTTCTTTTCTTAAGAATTCTGACAATTTCTGATGAAATGTAAAATCGAGATGAGAGAAAGAAGAATTGGATGATCGAAATATTGTGATATATCTACTTACACTGTCAGCGATAGCGTAGGAGATGGTGGCAACGAAGAGAAAGAAGAACAATGCTTTCAACTGCATTTTTGCGATTGGTTTGTAATACGACTTTCGGGATACTACACGTTCTGGCAAAAAAGCGCCAAGTATTTATACGATTCTAATCAATAGCGGTTTATTAACAAAGGAAACAGCACACAATAGCACACAACTGCTGTACAATGGCAATTTACAATTATTCTTACGTCAAGATATTCAACTGCATCTTCTGCGAGATAAACGAATGTCAAAAACTGCACATGTGTTGTATAATTGTGCTTAACACGATACATTTGTTCTTCTCGGCGTAATTTGATGTAATTTTGAGTATCTAAAATATCCAAAATATCCGACTTTCGGCAATCGGATATTTTCTTTCATAATCTTTCATCTTCTCGCAATCATAATAAAATTCACGTGGAATTGAAAGATATCCAAAAAATACTTTTTTGCAATATTTTATTAAAATTAGAAATTTTTATATTTCCAATTTTATATTATAACACATAATCTCAAGAATACGTATTACGATCCTGTATGTCGTATTAAGATCCTGATGTGTCATTTTAGGATTAAAAAGATTAAAAAAAAAAAAAAAAGCTCAATTCAAATATTTCTAATCTCAATCAATACGAAAAAATGAATGAAACTTCAAACTTCTCATACATTTAGAAAATATATCGGAAATTAAGAAATTCAATATCTCTTTTTTCTGATGATCCTGTAAAGAAGATTTTTCAGATCATTCGTGCCAAATGCATCGAGAATACTACTTCCAATTTAAATTCTTTGCCGAGAAGACTTTGGCCGAGGAATTTTTGAGCGGAAGATCGAAAATCTTTGAGGGGAATTTTCGCTTGCAGAGAGGAAATGAACACGCGGCATCCCGCTTCCAAAGTTTTTCCTTTCACCGGAATCCACCGATTCGATGGAACGAAGACAACGTCCCTCTTCAACGTGCACGTAAACAAAATCCTCCCCTCCTCCCCCGCCGCTGTGCGGTGCGTGTCGTGTCTAGAGGAATTCCACGAATCTTGACTACCCGGCGTTTCGTTGTTCTTCTACCTTCGTATCCGAAACCGCCGTGACGCGACGATTCTGTACTCGCTCGGGAGGGGAATTTTCGTACGCCTGAATGAAAACCGCCGCTACGTCCCAACTATCGAGTCGAAACTCTCAACTATTCCTCAGATCTTGGTCCGCCGTTGAAAAGGGATCACGGTCAGAGATGAAAGGGAAGTTGGCAAAGAAGGAATGGCCTCGTTCTGCCGACTTGGAATTCACCCATTCTCTTGCTCTCCAAGACGCTCCATTGCTGCTTCCTTCCTTCGATCGTTCGTTAAAAGTTGGAATTCCGCCGGTATCGATGATGCAAGGGATATTTTTATTTTTATTTCGCTCTTTCTTTCTGACGCTTCGTTTGTCGAAATATATCGGTGAAGGGAGCGTAGCTGAATGTAAATTGTTATTGGGTATTATTGCAAAGTAACAAGTATACATTTCTTCAAAAGAAGCATTAAGTTAAAAGAATTAACAAGTATCGCTTCGTATGCATTCGAGAGGAGAATTCCAAATCACTTGCGATTTATTTGAATCGCGAATACTACTCCCACTATATAACTGTCTATCGATATATCATTTTTGACAAGTGAATGTAGAAGAAGGTGGAGTGGAAAAAAGAAAAAAAAAAAAGAAATTGTAAGAGTCGCTTGCTCGAGAGACGAATGAATCTTCCCTTTTTGTACGTCCACGACCCTCGAGTACAACGAGGAACAGTATTATTAACAGCTGCGTCACTTGTACGGTCCACGTTTATTACAAACGTCCATGATTAATCGTTATCGCATACGTCAATTTCTGAAGAATAAAATATATCGATGAGTTATTCTCCTTTAAAAAAAAAAAAAAATTAATCAACACTCGTCCGTCCCTTTTCAATTAGCCTCCAATTTTTCGAATGGAACGGCTTTAAGATCTTCGTACATTCAACGTAGAACTGTCGAAACGATCCAGAGGATCCAAAATCCTAATCGGGAAACGAAACATTTCCAGGCCCGCGTGTGTACAGAAATTACAGCCTCCACGACGAAACTGTCAGAAGCAGGCACGCCTTGCACCCTCTCTGAACCGAATAATACGCGGAGAACAAGGGGGATGCATAATGGGGGAGGGAGGAATGGAAGGAAAGGCGCGTCTCGTCGATCGAGAAAGATGGTGTACACGTGCTCGTTCGTCCGCTTTCACCCTTCTCATCGAAGACGACAATCGAATGCTCGTCCTGTTCGGTATTTAATACGTTCTCGTCTGTCATCCACCGATTCGATAACGCGTATCCACGTCACCTCACCGAGGAAAAAAAGAAGAAGAAGAGGAGGAAGAAGAAGGGGAAGGAGGCAAAGGGAGATGAGCCTTGACAAGAAAAGGGTTCTTCGCGCCTTTTGATTTAT